TAGGTATTATAGATTGGGTCAAGGAGAGGTTAAAAATGTCAGTGAAGACACTTGCCAGCTGGTCTGCGCATGCTGTGGGTACGCGTCCTGGTAGTCCGTCTGGACCTGCAGACTTTTGAATGTTAACCTGTTTAAAGGTCTTACTCACATCCGAAGAGCGTGATCACACAGTCGTCCGGAACAGCTGTTGCTCTCACGCGTGGTTCAGTGTTGCTTGCCTCAAAGCGAGCAAATAACGCATTTAGCTCATCTGGTAGGCTCGCGTCACTGGGCAGCTCTCGGCTGGATTTCCCTTGGAAATCTGTGATAGTTTGCAAGCCGTGCCAAATCTGACGAGCATCAGAGCTGGTGTAGTAGGATTCGATCTTACTCCTGTATTGACGCTTTGCCTGTTTGATGGTTCATCGGAGGGCATAGCGGGATTTCTTATAAGCGTCCGGGTTAGTGTCCCGCTCCGTTAAACAAGCTAAATCAGTCACCCACCATTGCTACTAAGTCACTTACCCACCATTGCATGTTGTACCAAATGGTGGTTTGGACCTCGCTTTATATGCGCAGACAGCTACATTGGTACGTGTTCATTTACAAAACCATTCTGGGTAAACTCCCTCTCTACCTCTAGCCTGCTCTCCTTCACCACTAGCAGTTACCAGACGCGGGCTACTAGGTGGTTGATACTTAAAGTACCCAGGGCTTTTACGGAGTTAGGCAAGACTGCCTTCTCCTATGTGCCCCAGAGGCATATAACAGTATACAATCTATTGCTTCACCTAGATGTATTAGTGCCCCTCAATGAGTTTAAAACTCTGATGCAAGACTCTGTGTGTTACTGTAGGCTGGATCGTGTTGTTGTTGTGCTGATTGTATCTTACTAAAACATTTTTTTTGTAATGTTATATTAATTGCTGCTGCCTTGGTCAGGTCTAACTTGCGTCTCAATGGGCTTTTCCTGGTTAAATAAATACATGTGTACAGTCATGTAAGCCCCTAATGTACTCAGACAAACATGCAGATTAGACTTAGATTTTCTTTATTTATATACAACCATATAACCATTATATCTGTAAACAACATAAGCTCTATACAAAATAGCTGGTTTCATTAAAAAGAAGGGAAAAAACTATATGGCTTGCATAAACAGAACCATTTTCTCAAAATATATATGCACTGTTGCACTTTACATTCTATTGAAGCAGCAATATGCTAGAGATGCCCACATAAGGTGTTTGGGTGTGACAAAGGACAGTATCCAGAAGTAGCAGGTCCTCTCTGTTTATGTGAGTATAAGTCATATTTTAAGTCTTGTAGAAAATGTACAAACCTTTTCAAATAATTATTAGGTATTTTTCTCTTTTAATTATTTCCATTGTAACAAATGTGAGCCCACTTTTGCCTCCACTACATCCACTGTGAGCATAGGTATACGTCCTAAAGGGTTTAAGAGGAGTATTCTGCACTTATTCTCAAAAACTGATTTCAGAAATACAACATTTGTTCCAACCAAACTCCCATTGGCTTATACCTGATCCTCAACACAACAGTAACAGTTCATTTTCAGTTTCAGTCCAATGGCAAAATACATATTCTGATGACAACAGAGAGACTCACATAATATTGTCCCAGTCCAAATATCAAGATTGCACTGAGTGGGGCGTGGAGTATTTTAGTATTTCATTGAGAAGAGCGATGACAGAAGTGACAGGGTGTCAGTCAGACAGACATTAAATAGGTCACTCAATGATTTTATAACCAGTGGACCATGTTTAAACATTCAAAATGTGTTTTTATTGCCTGATTTGTCTTGTAATCCCCTTTTTGTGTGTCAATTGATTTACTCATAAATGTCATTTATGATGACCTTTCTGACTTTTCATTTTACGTATGTGCAGTTTGGATTGGCAAAATACAAGTGAAATCCACTCTCTTGTTTACCCATGTTATTAAAATGGAGCTCTCTGAGAAAAACCACTCACAAAACGCTCACCTTTGTGTGTGTGTGTGAGAGAGAGAGAGAGAGAGAGAGAGAGAAAAAAACAGACAGACAGACAGAAAGATAGATGAAGAAGAAGAGGGACAGAATATGGTTTGAGAAAGTCCAGCTTGTGGTCCATGTGTGGCTTGGATTTTTAATGGTCTCAGTTACCCCTGTAGCAGTTAGAATCCCTGATGAATGTTGTGGAAATTTTCACTAAAGTGGAGTAGAATCCAGGGAGATCTGACTGATGTTGATTTATGTCAAGGAAAAGTAGGCTGGTCAGATATAGAAGTCCTAATTGCTGTGGAGCAATGTGACTTCCTATGAGTTTATAAACGAGAGCAGAGATAATATACCATGTTTGTCTTGGTGAAGGATGACAAGAGAAAGTGATAGGAAATTATTTAAGTTGATAAGGAGGCTCTTACAGAGATAGGCTACATGTTACTGCCAATTCCCTTCACGTTCAAAACTCATTGTTTGCTCACACTCTCAAAGTGAATATAATAATAATATGCCATTTAGCAGACGCTTTTATCCAAAGCGACTTATAGTCATGTGCGCATACATTTTTACGTATGGTTGGTCCCGGGGATCAAACCCACTACCCTGGCGTTACAAGCGCCATGCTCTACCAATTGAGCTACAGAGGACCACATAATAATAATATGCCATTTAGCAGACGCTTTTATCCAAAGCGACTTACAGTCATGTGCGCATACATTTTTACGTATGGGTGGTCCCGGCGATCGAACCCACTACCCTGGCGTTACAAGCGCCATGCTCTACCAATTGAGCTACAGGCTCTTTGGTGGGATATTGCACCTGTTGGTTTGAGCTCATCGTCGGCATAGAGATATTAGGGCCGTTGGAATTGCAAACTCCGCCTGTTGGAAGTTGTTGAAGTTTGAATTAAATTGGTTTTCCTCCAGGGAAGTTGTAGTGAGAATAGGAAGGAATGCTTAGATGACAGGTTCTTGCAATACAATTCTTGCAATACCGCTGAACAACACCCTCCTTCCGTTCCCTGCATACTAAAATACTAATATAATAAGTCTAACTTTTTCAAAGTCAATTAAGTCTAGTCAAGCCTTCTCTTCTTCAAGTGCCTGATGCCCAAAGTTCTGAAATAACAGTTTTAATCAATCTTATCAATATTCAACACAGTTAAAGCACTGTGACTACTGGGTTTGGAAAAGCAGCCAAGTGAAAGCGGGGGAAGATCAGAAAGAGCAGCTGGGGCTGTCTGCAGCTAGTGGAAACTATAACACTGAGGACAAAGCAAAGGTAACTAAATCTGTGTCAACAGAACCAGCATTACTAGTACAATTAGACTGTGAGTCCCGGCAGTCAATATCTATCACATCAAATAGAGCACTCTGACAATAACGCTCATATACATGAAACATTGACTTGATGAACTTTCATTTTCTGCTCCCACTATAAAAAGTGCTTCCGGAAGATATAAAACTGCTTTGGTTCAAAATAGAATTCAGATAAAATGAGGTCAAGAACAGATTGAGGGTTTTCAGAGAGGAAACCCTTTACAATATTATATTTACAGATTCTGTTAGCGAACACAAAAACCCAGTCCTAGAGCAAACACAGCTATGCACAATCTGAGAAAAGAGAGATGGTGCTTGTTAGTGATAACAGGTAGTGTAGCCTGAAGCCAGCTGATGTGAAGAGAACACATGATGATCCCATTCCCAATTCCCCACCAATGAAATGAGTGAAGGCATGATAAAAGCTTTTCAGAGTCACCCAAATTCACTCTGGCAGGAAAGGAGGCCGAATGCGTCACACAAGCCACCCAAACATGGTGTCGACAGAGTGTCGAGGAGAAGCGGGTGGGCCAGACAACAACATTGAGAGGAGTGCCTACCAAGGCTGTGGTGGTTTTGCAGAGTGCCTTTGTTGTGACAGGAAGAGGCTACCAAAGTTTTGACACCAGCCACAAATGGTTCCACTCCTCCAGTCAGAAGACTCGCAGCACTCCCGAGGCTGAGGCAGGCATGCCCTCTCCTCACTGCACTGCGTGGTGTCAGCCGAACCACCCGTCTCTCCATGACACACTCTCGCTCTGTGGCTCCGTGTTCCACATTAAAGACCTGCCTACACAGCTGAACTGACAGACCCATACGGTACTGTACTCTTTTTCAACCCCTCCCACCCCTTCTCTTGGTTTCTGTGAAAAGTACCTTTCAAAACCACTTTGCGTTGGTTGGTTTTCAGGTGGAATGGTTCATAGGTTTAGAATATGTCCATGTTTGAGTTGTAAATGGGCTCATTCAAATTCACAAAGTGTTGTGTTTTATATTTGTCAGGTTTGTGTACGCAAAATAAAATGGGAAGCGTGAGCGTTGAAGTGAAGGATTAAAGGGGACAGTGTTCACTGTACTAATACACTTTGGTTCTTTGTAATGCATTGTTGTTCACTCACTGGCCAAAGGAATACTATAAATAAATGATCTAAGAAAGAGAAGAGAAATGATACCTTTCCATCCTCACACTGTGACACTGCCAGAAGTGTGGGATTAAAAATGACATTAAAACTCAAATCCCTTTTGTGGCATGTCACCATGTGAGAAGAAGGTTGTACTGTAAGACTGGCTAAATTCTATATAATCCACAGTAATATGAAGGCCTCTGTCTGGTCTGACACAATCCAGCTGCCCTCCAACAGTGACATCCTGTCAGGGACATCTGCCCCGAACACCACTGTCACCATGGCAGCCGTGGAAACTGTCCTTGTCCCCATCGTGTAATGTTACTTCCTATTTGGACTTGACTGTTGAAGAAGAAGGTTGTGCTATATGCAAACCTCAAAACACATAACCCCTTATTCTGATGTTCCAAGACGAGGGATACATCAACAAAATACGTTAAATAAAGTGTGAGACGAATGAAAGAGGCCATATTTCAGATCAATGCACACTTTCAGGGTGGATGGAGGTCTCTGAAGAGTTGTCAGGGGGAGTAGCGAGGGGTGGAACCCCCCATCAACTGCGACATCAGTGGTCCCTCAGTTGAGAAACTCTGCTGACAGGCTCCGTGTGCAGCGGGCCGAGCGGAACTTGAGCTCATGGTAGCACTGCACAAAGCTGTGGTAGATGAAGGTGATGGGCAGCGCCAGGAGCACGATGCCGCTCACCACGCACAGGCCACCCAGCACTCGCCCAGGCACAGTGATGGGGTACATGTCTCCATAGCCCACAGTGGTCATGGAGATAATAACCCACCAGCAGGCGGCGGGGATGCTGGCGTAGTCCTCGTTGGGCGACTCCAGGTCCAGGCCATGCTCCAGCAGCTGGGCTAGAGCACTGAAGATGGCCATGGGCACACAGATGAACAGCAGCAGCATCACCATCTCCCGGTAGCAGCGACTCAGCGTCAGCCCCAGAGTCTGCAGGCCCAGGAAGTGACGGGCCAGCTTGATCACCCAGAAGATGCGCATCATGCGCAGGACACGCAGGGTGACGCCCGCCCGCTGAAGCTGGGAGTTCTCCCCTGTCAGCATGGTCATGGAGATGGAGATGTAGTAGGGTGTGATGGCCAGTAGGTCGATGATGTTGAGGGGCCGTTTGACAAACTCACACTTGTCCCGCGACACGATGAAGCGCACGATGCACTCGGCGGTGAACCAGCCGATACACACAGCCTCGATGATCCTGTGGGAGGGAGAACCAGGCAGAGTTACCGCGAGCAGGAGAGCTGGAGATTCCACTATAGGTCTACACACCACTGTATATCTACAAGCAATGGACTGCAGACATTACTCTTACAAAATAAAAGTTTCTACGTAGAACCCATTTTGGTTTCAGGTAGAACCTTTTCACTGAAGGGTTCTTAAATGGTTTATTGAGGGTTAGGGCTTATTTGTTGGGTGAAAATGTTTTGGAACCAAAAAAGGTGTTCGCCTACACAGCAGTTTCCCAACTCCAGTCCTCGGATACCCCCAACAGCACACATTTTTGTTGTAGCCCCAGACAAACTCACCTGATTCAACTCATTGAGGGCTTGATGATTAGTTACAAGTTGAATCAGGTGTGCTTGTCCGGGGCTACAACTAAAATGTGTGCTGTTGGGGATACTGGAGGACTGGAGTTGGGAAACACTGGTCTACAGGGAAAACCTGAGACCCCTTTTATTAACCCTTTTTTCTAAGAATTTAGGAGCAGTGCGAGAGTGTTCTATTGAAGAAGGGTGCTGTCAATCACTTATACAACACTGGTTTACTGTATTGATAGTGGGTCTTGATTGACCAGTGACTCATAAAAGGCTTCAATCTCACTACATTGATAACTCATAAAGCTTCACTCACAAACACCTGGTAAGCTATAGTCTTGGAGCCATCCCACTGGGTAAAAACTGGTTGAATCAACGTTGTTTCCACGTAATTTCAACCCAAAAAAATGTATGTGATGATGTTGAATCAATGTGGAAAACTGATTGGAGTTGCAAAAAGTAATCAACATAAGGGCATTTCAACTTTTAACCTAAATCCAATGACATGGTGAATTTTTTTTGCTGATTTCACGTTAAATTCACAATAGTTGACAACTAGACGTTGAACTGAAGTCTGTGCCCAGCGGGATATGACTTATGGACGCTCTTACATTTTGATGCAATAAATTGATTCTTGATATTCTAACATTTTCACATCGTAATCCTGGTCATTTTCACATCATAATCCTGTTGTAATTTCCCAACCTGACCACCTGAACTTTTTAATTCCAGAACATGCAGAAGATATTTTAAGTCAGGTTGTAATTTAAAGTATTATATTTGGGCACCATACTTTGCCTTATTAATTTTGCTACATAGTGAGAAATAACCCTCAGACATTGACGTAATCACATGATAATTTACAATGTTCACAAGTGAATTCATTTGAAAACATACAACAGCAGCAAATGCCAAATCATAGTAGCATGCACATTTTTGATTTTCATTTGATTCTGAGACCATTCATGGGCCTGGACTTTAAAGACATATGTATTGCAGATCAGTGCGTATACTCCAGGGCAAGAGGATGGTAGAAGCATACTGATCAGAGATGCTTCTTTTCCCCTTGATTATACCATGAATTATAGACAAGGTAGACCTGGTTGAGGCTGAGCCCTGAGCATGCCTATTAGGTTTAGAGAGGGGGAGGACAGGCTGCCACAAAGGATCAGAGTAGAAGTAGGGCTGTAATGAGGGATTGTAGTCAGCCATTCAAAAGCCAGTTACAGTTTAATCCAACAACATATGCTATTGTCAAATGCTGATATAAATGAATCCAGACACCTAAAAGGCTCATAAATTATGACCTACCTCAATGCAATATTGATACAGATGTTATTCATATTGTCCAAATATAAATTATACACTGAATAATCTCACATAATTATTGTGTGGTGATGTTTAGGGGTCACTGTTGATATCATCAATTAGTCATTTCCCCCCAACATGCTATACATAAAGAATTCTTGCCTTGGGTCAATTATATGCTGACAAAAAATACACTTTGACCAAATAGAAACTATTGTCATTTGCATTGAAGTGAGGGCTCGGTGCAAGGGCTCAGTACATCCTAAGTTGCTTGTGTAGAATGGGAGTACCCTTTACTGTATTACCTTGGGACAACTAGCATTTGTGACGTCATGCTCACTTAAATAAAACATTTGCCCATTTAAAAGGGAAACAAATCAGGTATAACCATAACCTCCCACCATTGGCTTAGAACAATACCTACCTGCATTACCTACAACTGCACACACACACACACACACACACACACACACACACACACACACACACACACACACACACACACTGATGGTGTTGGGTGCCTTTCAGGTACCAATACCTTGAGAGCGGTCCGCGTGGCAGTCATGGATACAAGACAGACAGACACACAGGTTAAAGAGCAGAGTGAGAGCAGACAAGAAAGGGATGACAAACAGCTCTGTAGACAAATGGACAAAAGTATTGGCTGACACAGTTATATGTATTGATAAATGGCTAAATTTGATTGATTCATGTTCTGATCTCCTTCAAAACATCAAAAGTATCTTTAAAAAAAGTAGACATGAAACTGACACCAAGAAACAGCAATACATCATTAATTTTATCTGTCTCTCCTATGACAATGGTAAGCGTACTCTACCTGAAATCAGCACTGTGGACAGGTCCTGACTATTATTATAGTAGGCTACCACTAAAATCAGTACCTTGGACAGCTACCGATACATACGCGCTCATCCAAAAAGGGAGCCGAGACAGTCACAACTCATTTACATTTACTGCCTTAATCTAACTTTTTCACTGTAAACATGTGTTAGTGCTGAAAGATAAAATGCATGACAAAAATGACAATAGTGCAAGGGACAGTGGTGCTTCTGGCAATTAACATTTAGAATGAACACCTTTAAGTGTCCGTAATGACAATTGGCCAACACACAAAATGGAGACTTTGGCACATGAAATGTGTTGTTCACTTGGTAAGATCAGACCAGAAGCTCCCTTGACATTTAACTTTGATAAACATTCAGCTCCTCCTCTGCCCCCTTCCCCACAGGGGCTCATACAATCTGTTGCCAGGAGACCATGTGGTCGGGGACCAGGGCCGTTTCTAGCTCACGGCCAAAACATTTTAGTGGCCCCCCTCTTGGCAGTGGAGAGAAAAATGTGCAGCTCTACACATTTTGCCATGGTATGGAGATAAAATGTAGCAGTTTTAATGCTAATTTCCTGCAGTTCTATAATAATAATAATTAGACATTTTGGGAACATTTCGCAATTCTACACAGTTTGCCATGACTTATGCCGTGTTCATTTGATACTGTATCTGAGTGAGAATAACTAACTAAATCAATGGGTACCCCCTGGTGGTCAGGGCCCCTGGGCACGTCAGTAATTCGGCCACGATTACTACAAGGTTTAGATAGCTGGCTAGACCAATTTACCTAGCAATCTATAAAATTTAAGCTGACATGGGCTAATTGAGTGACTGTCAGTGAATTACATACCAAGAGGAAAACTGCTGATGCACTACCAAATTTAGAAATTGCACAGGATTCCACTATCCTAACTAACAGTAAGTTGAGACCCTGACTGGCTTCTAAAAAATAATAGTAGTATATAAAATATATATATATATATACATACTTTCTTTCCTAACATTTGGTTGGGGGCCCCCTAGTGGCCGCTTATGTTGCTTAGAAATGGCATTGTCGCGGACTACTAAATGGTAGCCCCAGTGGTGTCGTGGAGAGTAAACACAATTTACCCACCCTTTGCAGAAAAATGCGTTGAAAGTAGGCCTATAAAGAGCGTTACTTTTTTTTTAACAAGACAGGCAATAACAGTTTACCCTATTGTTCTTTTCAGATTGACGTCGCAATTGGACGTCTATCCATGTCCTGAGGACATCGGGAAATGCCTTCAAAACCAGCCATAGGGGCAACAGTGTGCACTATTACCATTAAGATGGCTTGGGTTTTGCTATGGCATTGTGGACAGGCGTAATTCCATGACTCTGGATTAGAAGGTTGCGTGTTTGATCCCAATCATGGACAAAAAAAATATATTGTCACGACTTCCGCCGAGGCTGCCTCCCCTCCTTGTTTGGGCAGGCTTCGGCGTTCGTCGTCACCGGCTTACTAGCCACTGCCGCTCCATGTATCATCATTCCATTTGTCTTGTCTTGTTAATTACACACACCTGGTTCTTATCCCCTCATTAGTCCATGTATAAGTGTTCCCTCTGCCCCACTTGTCCTTGTGGGTGATTGTTTATTTGTGAGAGTAGTGTAGCTCGGTGGAGCTACTCGTACATTGTTATTGCCGGGGTAGATATTTCCCCTGTGCCTGTTATTGTTGGAGCTACCGTTACCTTGTATTGCCAGAGTAGATTTTCCCCTGTGCCTGTTTTGTTTGTCGCTATCCAGCGCTATTTGTGTACGACGGAATAAACTCTGCATTCGGTGATTACCCTCCTGCGCCTGACTCCTTCTATCACAGAATCACCCACCCGAATATGGAGTCAGCGGGAGAAGAGAGCATGCCTGGAGTCGTGGCACGGGTCCAGGAGCATTCCACGATGCTGGCCAACTTGGGGGATGCGATGGATCGGGTTCTTCAGGTCGTCCAAAGCCTGGAGAGGAGAGGACCCGATCTGTCAAGACAAGCTGGCCAACCGGATACAGCCACCTACACCCCAGCACCCGGAGGGAACCAGATATCCCGACCACGGGCGTTCGACGGGACGGCGGCGCTCTACCAAGGATTCCTCCTCCAACTGGAGCTTTACTTCTCCAGCATCAAGCCGGCACCATCGTAGCGGGAGATGTCCGTCCTCGTTTCCTGCCTCTCGGGGAAAGCCCTGGAGTGGGCCAACGCGGTTTGGAACGAAGGAGGACTACGGGGAGTTTGCTCGACTCTTTCGAGGGTCGAGTAGCGGGCGAGCGGCTGGTCCACCTGAGGCAGGGGATGAGGACTGCGCAGGACTTCGCGTTGGAGTTTTGGACTCTGGCAGCGGGGCCGGGTGGAACGAGCGGGCCCAGATCTACCATTTCCGGTGCCATCTGTGGGAGGACGTCCGACGGGAGCTAGCCTGCCGGGACACCATGTTGTCTTTCACAAAACTGGTGGACATGTCCATCCGTTTGGACAACCTGCTGGCAGCCAGAGGACGTCCTGGTAGGGTCTGCCCGTTTCCACCCCGGACGACTCGGATCCCGAGCAGATGGAGCTGGGTAGAGCCGCCATCCGAGAGAGTGGATTACGACAGCGACAGTGCCACTCTGGTGGCACGAAGGGACAGTACACCACACGTCGTAGTCAACGCTCTTTTGGGCCTGGAGGCGGCAGGCAGGGCACTCTTGCATCACCCCAGGTATCGAACACCCACACTCGTTCAGAGCCCTCTGCTGCGCACTGTACCCTACCTATCCACTTTCCCGATCACATGGTAGTTCCCCAGTGTAAGGCGCTAGTCGATTCAGGCGAAGCTGGGAACTTTATGGACAGGGCATTCTCACGCCGTCAAGGCTTTTCTTTGGTTCCCCTATCCATTCCACTCCCCATCAGAGCACTTGATAGTCGACCATTAGGATCCGGGTTTGTAAAGGAAGTCACTGTACCAGTCACCATGATCACCCAGGAGACTCATTGTGAGCAGGTTACTTTTCGATTATTGAGTCTCCTGCTTTCCCTGAGGTATTAGGTATCCCTTGGCTAGCACTCCACAACCCCACCTTCTCATGGCCGCAGACGGTTCTCACAGGGTGGTCGCGAGAGTGTCAGGGTAGGTGTCTAGGTGTTTCCGTTGGTGCAACCACGGTGGAAAGTCCAGACGGTACCTCCACCGTGCGCATTTCCCCCGAATACCATGATCTGGTGCACGCATTTTCTAAGACACAGGTGACAAAATTACCACCTCATTGGGCGAGGGATTGCGCGATAAACCTTCGGGTAGACGCTGTACCTCCCAGGAGTCATGTGTACCCCCTGTCGCAGGCTGAAACGGAGGCAATGGGCAACAGAGTCCCTGGACCAGGGGTATATACGTCCCTCCACTTCACCCGCCTCCTCGAGTTTCCTCTTTGTGAAGAAGAAAGACGGCGGTCTGCGCCCGTGCATTGATTATCGATCACTGAACAAGGAGACTATTAGATTTAGTTATCCTCTCCCCCTCATTCCTTCAGTGATTGAGTCAATGCATGGGGCACGCTTCTTCACCAAATTAGATCTCAGGAGTGCATACAACCTGGTGCGTGTTCGGGGGGGGGGGGGGGGATGAGTGGAAGACAGCATTCAGCACAACCACGGGGCATTATGAATACCTGGTGATGCCCTACGGTTTGATGAATGTTCCATCCGTCTTCCAGTCCTTTGTGAACGAGGTGTTTCGGGACATGCTTGGTCGCAGTGTGGTGGTCTACATCGATGACATCCTGGTGTATTCTGCTACGCGCGCCGAGCATGTGTCCCTGGTTCACAAAGTGCTGGCCCAACTGTTGGAAAATGACCTTTATGCCAAGGCAGAAAAGTGTCTGTTTTTCCAGAAGTCCGTCTCCTTCCTCGTATACCGTATTACTACCACAGGTGTGGAGATGGAGGGAGATCGCATTTCAGCCGTGCGTAATTGGCCAGACTCTAACCACGGTTAAGGAGGTGCAGCGCTTCCTTGGCTTCACCAACTATTATCGGAGGTTTATCCGGGGCTTTGGCAAGGTCGCAGCTCCCATTACATCCCTGTTGAAGGGTGGGCCGTCCCGGCTCCGCTGGTCTGCTGAGGCTGACCTGGCCTTCAGCAAACTGCGGGGTCTGTTCACCTCAGCCCCGGTACTGGCCCACCCCGATCCATCACTAACATTCATAGTGGAGGTGGATGCGTCCGAGGTAGGGATAGGCGCTGTCCTGTCTCAACGCTTGGGCACGCCACCCAAGCTCCACCCCTGTGCCTTCTTCTCAAAGAAGCTCAGCCCGGCGGAGCAGAACTACGACTTTGGTGATCGGGAGCTGTTGGCTGTTGTCCGAGCATTGACCGTGTGGAGGCATTGGCTCAAAGGGGCGAAACACCCTTTCCTCATCTGGACGGACCACCGTAACCTGGAGTACATCCAGGCAGCGAGGAGGGCCCTATTCTTCACCCGGTTTGATTTTACACTGTCATACATTCCGGGTACAAAGAACGTGAAGGCAGACGCACTGTCCCGGCTGTATGACACAGAGGAGAGGCCCAGAGACAACACTGCCATACTCCCAGCCTCCTGCATTGTGGCGCCGGTAGTATGGGCGATGGACGCGGATATAGAGCAGGCATTACGCACAGATCTACCGTTACCTACCAGGGTAGATTTTCCCCTGTGCCTGTTTCGTTTGTCGCTATCCAGCGCTATTTGTGTACGACGGAATAAACTCTGCATTCTGTGATTACCTTCCTGCACCTGACTCCTTCTATCACACTCATCACATATATATATTTATATATTTTAACCCTATCCAAAACCTTAACCCTTACTTTAACCGTTCGGAATGAGTGCCTAAACTTAACCCTTAACTTAGAAATGTGACATTTTGACTCACTGGTTTGAAAATCTTGGTTTTTAACCCTACTCCAAATCTTAACCCTTACCTTAACCATTCAGAATTAGTGCTAAACTTAAAGCTGCAATATGAAACTTTTTGGGCGATCAGATCTGTTCTATATGCGCTATTTCTATGCTTCCCGTTCTTAAGTTTCGTTTTTGCATCTTTTACTTTCGGTTTTGTACACCAGCTTCAAACAGCTGAAAATACAATATTTTTGGTTATGGAAAACATATTTCACAGCAGTTTAGATGGTACAATAATTCTCTACACTATACTTGCTTGTTTTGTCACATAAACTGAAATTAGGCAAACTATTCGAATTTTAGCAACCTGGAAATGACAGAGCCATGTCTGCATAGTGCATCTTTAATGTTTAATGTGCTTAAACTTAATGTAATGTTTTAACTCTATTGCCAAACCTTAACCCTTACCTTAACCATTCAAAATGAGTGCCTAAACTTAACCCTTAACTTTAATTCCAGCCATTACAATGAGCCCGTCCTCCTATAGCTCCTCCCACAAGCCTCCACTGTATTATATGCAGAATACAACAATATACATTCTAAATTATTGTAGGTAGGCCTATGTCACAGCTGCTGAAACAAAACGGTGTGCACTCTTGTGGTCCTTACAAGTCTATTGAGAAGTAGAGCATTGAACACATGTATCAACATCGCAGGCAATCAAATAACGGAGAAATCTGGAAATATATAATAAAAAGATAGGACATAGATACCCGGATGGATGCTCTAAAGAGTCTGGATTGTACTGGTGCTCCTCCACGCTGTTGTTCTCAGCGGTTTTCCAATCTGGCAAAGTACTCACACAAAGCATCACCATGGACACTATAACAAATATAACGGACACTGAGGCCAATATTTGTGCTGCGACTGATGAAGTCGGCTCCTCAAAAGTACTTCTCATTCTCTCCAGCCACTTGGACTCCTCTCTCTCCGTGACCACGCGAGTCACCAAATTCTCGCCCCTCAACTCTTCCTCGAGTTTGACTTCCTCCTCGGAGAAATGAATGTACGAATCGGACATCCTATTGTCCAGTCTCCGCTGGCAGCAAAACTCCAAGTGTGAGCTCTCCAGCCCCCAGTAAATCATCTCGTTATAGAATGATAGCTCGCACATCTGCGGGACGAACCGTAGCTTCCCGTACTTCACGTACAGCATGATGAAACAAAAAGCCTCCGAGTGCCTATCAAAGAAAAATTCGTTCCGTTCCCGGTCATAGTCGTCACACACTTCCAGTACTTCTTTCTCTGATGCGCATTTGTGCAAACGGCTCACTCTACTCAGAGGGAAATCCTTTATCACATCCTTAGGGAACGCATATTTTGTGCCACCCACATTAAGGATACAGATGCTCTTCCCAAACTTCATCTTCCAGTTGTTGACAGGTGTTTGTACAGTCCTGAAAAAGGCACCCTGTGCGTTGTATACAGCGCCAAAAGGCACCCGTTCCTTATACAACCATGTTTTATCCCTCTCCAAGTCCAATATAGGAGTCAATACGTCGTCATTGCGTTTGGCCGCTATTAGTAGCTTTTTTTTGTTGTTTTCCTCCTTCTGAGAGAGATATCTGACCGACTGGAGTTGTCGTGAAGAATATGCAATAGAGCGCACTCGCCGCTTGCATGCAACTCCTTGCGCAACGTCATGGTGTTCTGAGCGCCTGTAGCTCAGTGTCCAAACCAACTAGTCCTCTGTGTGCAGATCCGAGTAATGTCACACGGGTCTCTCCCTCGCTCACACACACACACACACACACACACAATGTAGACCTATTGTATGGCAAACGATCGCGTATTACAATCGAGGGGGCCAACACTATAAGCGGGATAGATTTCTTTCAACTTTTATCAGTTGATCAATAGTATTCCGTTTTATTGGTAAAATTATTATAAATATAGGCCTAATCACAGTTGGCTCTGACACCTCTATGTGCTGTTTGACAAATTACTTTTAATTAAATTGGCATATGATAACTTGATCCTTTTGTCAATAGGTTTTATGCAGCGCCACTTTATCACAATGTTTCGGGTAAGGAATCGAGGGCCACATAAAACAAATCTGTAGGCCTATTAATGGATGATTGCGCTCCTCTTCAGATCCCTGAGATATTCATATTTAACAGCATCACAGCATCACAGCTAAAGGGAGGGACCTGTTGCCACAGATGAGGAGGCCTCCTGGAAAAATACAGTGGATGTGACAGATTTGTAGGCACTCACAAGCTGCAGGGCGCTGGGAGTTTCAGCACCATAAGTGAACAGAATCGGCACCTGTTCCTGTGAGAATCCTATTTACCGTAATGGCAGTATAGGCCTAAACAGAAAGAAGAAGTCTGGTAGGGGAAACTAGGAAGGCTTCCTATTAAACAGGGCTTGTAGACAAAGACAGTAGGCTACAGTATGAAGAGAGGCTTAAACTGCTTCTCCAATAGAAATCCCCGATCACACTTGTAGGCGATGTCATGGCGACGTTGGCTATCTAAACTCATGCGTAAAATACGTCATCGGGTCTAACGGTCGTCTCGCACCGAACTGCGCATGTGCAAGCCGTCAAATCAAAGGCACTGCTTCGATATAAAGTTATTTTTGACAAAAATGAAAACATGTCAGTTTGTCACTTTCACGAGGTTGGAGTAATAGCATGTTCAACTACTTAACACATTGGCTCGAATCTAGGTTTTGCCTTTAGATTTCGAGAAAATTAACAACTATAAGAAAAATAATAATCACTTCTCTCATTGACTTCTCAAACCCCAATCTCCGGCCTGGTCTGTTTGGTCTGTGGTGTTGCGCCTCTGGGTTTAGAAACTCTGTGTTGTAGCAGTGGTAAGGGCTGAAATGTTGCAGCAGGCAGGCAGGATCTGGTGCAAGTTGTGCTATTTACAGATGACGATGGTGATCCAGACATTCAATTGGGATATTTTCAAATAATCCAAAATATATATTTACAAACTTCTCAATAATACTTCCATGAAAAGAAAATGCATAGGAACAGGCAAATCTGTCTATTCCGTTGAGACTAGGGTTGAATATTTTCCCGGTATTTTACAAATGTTACATGCCGAGAAGAAATAACTTTTCTCCCGGGTGACTCGGTATTTCCCGCCAAAACCGGAAGTGTCATTCAAATGCATTATGAAGCATATAAATATGTCTGGATTTGATTAGAGCGTTAATCAGCATGACAATTGAAATATGATGCTACCTGAGCCTGATGAACCATATATGAAATACATTTTATGAGCCCTACATTAACTACATTTAATGAGGCCAAGCCCAAAAAAGGCCAAATGATTGTGCCATTATCCAAAACATAAATTATATAGGCTACTGCACATTAAGCACAACAGAAAAACATAAAAGCCCATAGATGTAGCTAGCTATATATTATCTTGGGTAAAATGAAACTAGCTCCAGCAGGCTAATCTTTTTGAGTGTGAACTGTATTACTGTTCTGTAATGTATTATACTGTATTATTTGGACTGGAATTATGCACATCATTCCAACCATGATAAAGCAGAAGAGAACATGCGATTCTGGTGCAGCACATGCGGCTTACAAAGTTACAAGTATAGGCTAACGAATGTGATTTTAATAGAGCCTATTTTTATAATTAGTAGGCTGACGCATATATACCTTCAATAATATTTCCCCTAATGTTATTAGCCTATCTTCTCTTTCTCTCTCTATTGTTGCTTCATTCCTTCCTAGCTTTCAACAGTTAAATGAAATAAGTTTCATTGTCCTTATCTCCATCATTCTAATGACATCCTTGAATAATATAGGACTAGAATTAGATGCAGAAGGCTTTCACCTCTCTTCACGAAGATTGAATGGTTATGGGTCTGAATAAATAACTGCTATAGCCTACCGCCATCAGGAGTTCGCTCTTCTTTCAAACTACCCACTACCCGTGAGTTCTATTGGCTGCTGTATTTAACATTCAGCAAAAAAGAGCTTGCATCCCTCTTCGAATAATCTATTGGTAGGCTATAGGAAATGCTAAAAAAAAGAATGTCCAGCAAGCTATTCTAGGCTAGCTTTTCCTGCATGGGACTCCAAGGAGCGTGTTTTAACCTCTACGGGATCAGTGTCCCGTATATGGGACAGTTGAGCTAATGTGCGCTAATGTGATTAGCATGACTGTTGTAAGTAACAGCAAACTTTCCAGGACATAGACATGTCTTATGTGGGCAGAAAGCTTAAATTCTTGCTAATCTAACTGCACTGTCCAAATACCATGCTATTGTTTTAGGAGAGTGCACAACAACAAAAAACTTATCACGGCAACTGGTTTGATACATTCACCTCTGAAGGTTAATAATGTACTTATATTCAGTATTCTTGCTCTGATTTGTCATCCTAAGGGTCCCAGAGATAAAATGTAGCATTGTTTTGTTTGATAAAATAAATTTTTATATTCAAATGTAGGAACTGCGTTCTACAGTTTGAACCCCTGCTGTCTCTGGCTCCACACGCACCCCGCCCGGCCATCTAGATGTGTGAAAGTTAGTGTATAAGCTAATGATCCATCATGTATGACGTTCCTGGGAGTGTGTAAACTTACATTTTGTATTACCATATCATTTTTGTGTGTTCTCTATAGTTATGTACTTGAAAATGTATCAATTGACCAATTCGGCACATTTGTGCAGACTTGATACAAAATATTCCAGTATTCCAGTATTGCAACTCCGGAGAAGATGGCTGCCGTTTTCCAGCCCTCTAACCAATTGTACTATTATATGTGTTTTTCCGCGTTATTTGTAATTTATTTTGTACATAATGTTTCTGCCATCGTCTCTTATAACCAAAAAGAGCTTCTGGATATCAGGACAGCGATTACTCACCTCGTATTGGACTAAGATTTTTTCTTCAACGAGGCGGCCGCGAAGGATATCATACAGACACCCGACAAGGCCCAAATCCCCGTCATTCGCGTGAGGAAGAGACGGAGATATCGGGGACGGAGATCGGGGTGCCTTGTAAGGATCCGACGGCGAGCGAGTAAACTGCCTCTTCCATCAATCCTATTAGCCAACGTTCAATCTTTTGAAAATAAAGTGGACGACTTAAGATTACGGTTATCCTACCAACGGGACATTAAAAACTGTAATATATTATGTTTCACGAGTCGTGGCTGAACGACGACAATGATAACATTCAGCTAGCAGGCTATACGCTACATCGGCAGGACAGAACGGCTGACTCCGGTAAGACAAGGGGTGGCGGTCTGTGTATATTTGTAAACAACAGCTGGTGCACAAAATCAAATACTAAGGAAGTCTCTAGGTTTTGCTCGCCTGAGGTAGAGTATCTTATGATAAGCTGTAGACCACACTATTTACCAAGAGAGTTTTCATCTATATTTTTCATAGCTGTCTATTTACCACCACAAACCAATGCTGGCATTAAGATTGCACTGAATGAGTTGTACAAGGCCATTAATCAACAGGAAAACGCTCATCCAGATGCAGCGCTCCTAGTGGCCGGGGACTTTAATGCAGGGAAACTTAAATCCGTTCTACCTAATTTCTACCAGCATGTTAAATGTGCAACCAGAGGGAAAAAAACTCTAGACCACATTTACTCCACACACAGAGACGCATACAAAGCTCTCCCTCGCCCTCCATTTGGCAAATCTGACCATAACTCTATCCTCCTGATTCCTGCTTATAAGCAAAAACTAAAGCAGGAAGCACCAGTGACTCGGTTAATAAAAAAGTGGTCAGATGACGCAGATGCTAAGCTACAGGACTGTTTTGCTAGCACAGACTGGAACATGTTCCGGGATTCTTCAGACAGCTTTGAGGAGTACACCACATCAGTCACTGGCTTCATAAATAAGTGCATCGATGATGTCGTCCCCACAGTGACCGTACGTACATACCCCAACCAGAAGCCATGGATTACAGGAAACATCCGCACTGAGCTAAAGGGCAGAGCTGCCGCTTTCAAGGAACGGGACTCTAACCCGGACGCTTATAAGAAATCCCGCTATGACCTCCGACGAACCATCAAACAGGCAAAGAGTCAATACAGGTCTAAGATTGAATCATACTACACTGGCTCTGACGCTCGTCGGATGTGGCAGGGCTTGAAAACTATTACAGACTACAAAGGGAAGCACAGCCGCGAGCTGCCCAGTGACACAAGCCTACCAGACGAGCTAAACCACTTCTATGCTCGCTTCGAGGCAAGCAACACTGAAGCATGCATGAGAGCACCAGCTGTTCCGGATGACTATGTGATCACGCTCTCCGTAGCCGATGTGAGTAAGACTTTTAAGCAGGTCAACATTCACAAGGCCGCAGGGCCAGACGGATTACCAGGACGTGTACTCCGAGCATGTGCTGACCAACTGGCAA